GGGCTGGCTTTGAACTGCAATCCTCAGATCTCAGCCTCCTGAGTAGCTAGGATTACAGGTGTGAGCCACCAGCGCCCCGCTTGAATCTGGACTTTTCTATCCCACTAGCTTTAAACTGTGATCCTCAGATCCTAACCTCCTGAGTAGCTAGGATTATACCAGTGAGCCACACACACTTGGAATAATGCTTTTATAAAGTTAGAAAAATAACAAACTGGACACAGGTGGCTCACACCTGCCAGTCTACACAGAAAAGTCTATGAGACTCTTATCTCCAATAAACTACTCAGAAAAGGCCAGACATAGTGCTGTAGCTCAAGTGGTAGAGCACTAGCCTTGAATGCAAAGAAGCTTAGGGATAGTGCCCAGGCCCTGAGTTCAAGCCCTGGGAAAGGCAAAAAAAGAAAGAAAATAAACAAGCCAGGTACTGATGGCTCCTAACTACTCAGAAGGCTAAGGTCTGAAGATCTCAGTTCAAAGCCAACCTGGGCAAGAAAATTTGTGAGACTCTTATCTCTAATTAACCACCAGAAAACCAAAAGTAGTGCTATGGCTCAACGTAGTAGAATGCTAGCCTTGAGCATGGTGAAACCTCTTTGAATAAGTAGCATACACTTAAAAATAATGAATGACAGGAATGTAAACAGATCATGTTCAGAGTATGGGTACAAGAAAAAGTGGGGAGGGTGAATATGGTCAATATACTTTATGGGAATGGGTGAAAATGGAATAACGAAGCCTTTTGAGATTGGTTTGATAAGGAGGGGAAGAGATAATAAACAGTGACAGAGGGGAGTGAGGCTCATCAAAGCACATTGTGTGCATGTGTGTGTACTATACATACATATATACATACATAATATATATTGTATTGGGGCTGGGAAGGTGGCTCAGTGGTAGAGTGCTTGCCTTGCATGCATGAGACCCTGGGTTTGATTCCTCAGCACCTCATAAACAGAAAAGCCAGAAGTGGCACTGTGGCTGAAGTGGTAGAGCGCTAGCCTTGAGCTAAAGAGCTGAGGAACAGCACCTAGGCCCAGAGTACAGGCTCCACGACCGACCAAAAATAAAAAAATATATATAGATATAGATAGACAGATAGATATAGATATATGTATGTATGTATATATGTGTATATATAGTACATTATACATGTGTACATTATGTATATATATTATATAACACATGTTATATATTATATATAATTACAGTATATTATATATTTATGATATGTATATATAATCTAATATATACACATGAACATGCCAAAATGAAAACCTAATATATAATAGGTTATATTATATAGTGAGCAAAAGAGTTCAGGGACAGTGCCTAGGCCCTGAATTCAAGCCGACAACTGACAAAAGAAAAGGGGAAAAAAAAAAATGACAGCGGCTGGGAAGGTGGCTCAGTGGTAGAGCGCTTGCCTTGCATGCTGGAGGCCCTGGGTTAGATTCCTTAGCACCACATAAGCAAAAAGAAAAAAGCTGGAAGTGGCCCTGTGGCTCAAGTGGTAGAGTGCTAGCCTTGAGCTGAAGAGCTGAGGGACAGCACCCAGGCCCAGAGTTCAGGCCCCACGACCGGACCAAAAAAAAAAAAAAAATGACAGTCCAGTTCCACCACTCTCCGATCCCCCCCCCCCCCCCCCCCCCACTGCCCTGGAATCCCCCACGGCTGCAGCCATGTCCTCCATGTCCTCCTCCTGCACCAGCGTGAGCGCCCTGCAGCGCCTGGTGGAGTAACTGAAGCTAGAGACCGGCGTGGAGGGATCAAGGTCTTGCAGGCAGCTGCAGATCTTCAACAGTACTGCATACAGAATGCCTACAAGGATGCCTGCTGGTGGGTGTTCCAGCAGGAAGCAATCCCTTCCGGGAACCCAGGTCCTGTGCTTTGTTTTTAAAAGACTTTCATTGAGGATTGCCTTTAAGTACAAAGTGACAAATGCTTCCAAGTCTCAAGAAAACACTTTTTTGTAGCCAAATGACCATTAGATATTTCAGGTCTTTTCTATGGCCTGGTCATATAGCCAGTTATACAGAAATTAATGATTTTTCTACTCAAATAAGGTAACTGAGTGAAGAAGTACAGTATTAAATAATAATGACCTAGTTCCATTGCTGAAGTACTTTTGTATTAAGACAAACAGCCACCCTTACCACCAAATACACCAAAATACACCTTTCATAAGTGAAGTTCTGGTTTTGCTGTATCTGGAATATTATGTATGTTTTATTTACTGGATGTTTACATTTAGGAAGGAAAACATTTTTGTTTATTAAAACAACTGAGTATTTGTAACGTGCTCCTAAGACTTTTATACTACAATAAAATTTGTTCTTTTTTCATGAAAAGAAAAAATATAAAAAAGAAGTCAGTAACACAGCAAAAGCAAAGAATGCAGACATACTTGTAGAAGTCTTCATAGAATCGCCCTTTGTGATCTTGTTGAATTGAGGCTCGGTTTATCTCAGGAAATTCATCTGAAATAGAGAAAATGAATTAGGCAGATCAGACTGATAAGACAAGCTCACGGTTTTGTTATTTTCTTCTTGTAGGTTGAAGATTTGCATCACAAAACAACACAAATAAAAATATTTATACATATATGTCTATATATACATACATACATACATACTTGGTTGTAGGATGGATCAATGCCCTTAATCCTTTTTTGTCTGTCATGGGGCTTGAACTCAGGGTCTGGGCACTGTTCCTGAGCTCTTTTGCTAAAGGTTAGTGCTCTACCACTTTGAGCCACAGTCCATTTCCAGTTTTCTGGTGCTTCATTGAACATAGAGTCTCACAGACTTTCCTGCCTGGGCTGGCTTTGAACTGCGGTCCTCAGGTCTTAGCCTCCTGAGTATTTAGAATTACAGTTTTGAGTTACCAGTGCCCAGCTCTACAGACTTTTATGTGTACTACATATTGTGCTATTTTTACTTTACCTATTCCCTACAACAACTATGAAGAAGATGAAAGAGAGAGATATTCAACAACAACAAAAAAAGAAACCTGCAAGAGAATCGTGTGTGTGTGTGTGTGTGTGTGTGTGTGTGTGTGTGATGTTTTTAACTATGGGACTATTTCAGGTGATGGAGAAAGGAAAAGAAGAATGTGAGAGAGCAAACAATACATTGCATCTGAGTATAAAAATAGCTGAGCTAAGCCGGGCGCTGGTGGCTTACGCCTGTAATCCTAGCTACTCAGGAGGCTGAGATCTGAGGATCGAGGTTCAAAGCCAGCCCGGGCAGGAGAGACTGTGAGACTCTATCTCCAATAAACCACCAGAAAACCGGAAGTGGCGCTGTAGCTCAAGTGGTAGAGCGCTCGCCTTGAGCTGAAGAGCTAAGGGACAGCACCCAGGCCCAGAGTTTAAGCCCCACGACCGACAAAAAAAAAAAAAAAAAATAGCTGAGCTAAACTCACTGAAAGCTGCTGAATAGTGGGTAGTGAGGATGGAGACAGTGAGAGTAAGCAAGGAAATCAATCTGACTAAAGATCTGTATATGTATGTGTAAAATACCATGGTGAGGGATTGGGAAGGCAGCTCAGTTGTCAAGTGCTTGCCTTGCATGCATGAGGCCCTGGGTTTGATACCTCACCACACATAAGCAGAAAAAAGCCAGAAATGGCACTGTGGCTCAAGTGGTAGTGCTAGCCTTGAGCTGAAGAGCTGAGGGACAGCACCCAGGCCCAGGGTTTAGGCCCCACAACCGACAAAAAAATTAAAAAATAAAAATACCATGGTGAAACCTCTTTGAATTACTAGCATACACTTAAAGTCATGAATGACAGGAATGTAAACAGATCATGTACAGAGTACAGGTACAAGTTAGAGTGGGAAGGGTGAACATGGTCAATATACTTCATGGGAATCGGTAAAAATGGAACAATGAAGCCTTTTGAGACTGGTTTGCTAAGGGGAGAAGAGATAATAAACAATGACAGAGAGGGGTAAAAATGATCAAAGCACATTGTGCATGTGTGTATTATATATATTATATATGCTATATATAACAATATATGTTATATATAATATATAATACATACATATTTTTATATATTATATATAATACATATACATGGACATGCCAAAATGAAAAACTATATATAACTAATTGATGTCAACAACAACAACAACAACAAAAACAAAAATATGAAGCTAGGGGCCAGTGGCTCATGCCTATAATCCTAGTAAAGCAGAAGGCTGAGATCTGAGAATCAAGGTTTGAAGACAGCCCAGACAGACAAATCCAGGAGCTCTTATGTCCAAATGCCCAGCAAGAAGCCAAAGAGAAGATGGGTGTGGCTCAAGTGGTAGAGCACCAACCAGCAGTGGAAAAAATGGGCAAAAACAAGAAGCTTAGAGTTCAAACACCAATACTGATTATATTATCTGATTACTGTTCAGATTTCTAAACTATATACCTGCTTGTTTATAACCATAAGCACACTTAGGAAATAAGACTTTAAATTATGTTATGTTTTCTTGAGTTAAATTTGACACTACATTTTCATGAGGCTGTAAAGGAACCTTAAGCTATCTAAGTTCTTATTCTAAAGTTAAGCTACCCAAAAGAGTAACTTCAAATCTTGAATTTACTAAAAACAATAGGACATATTTTTATGTCCATATTGACTTGGTATAACTGAACATGGTTCAATATCTATACTCTACAAAGATCACTAATTATTTGCTTAAATAAATCTCAAATAATCAAGCTTCCAAGTGACTTCAGGTGTCAACCATCTATTGCCCAAATAATGCTAAATAAAATAATTTACCTCAAATATTAAGGAAAAAAAAGCAATACTGGCACAAGAAAGGAAAGAAGGAAGGAAGGAGAGAAAAAGAGAAACAGAGAGACAGGAAGAAAGGAAGGAAGGAAGGAAGGAAGGAAGGGAGGAAGGAAGAGAGAATGAAACTGTAGGAAGCTGGATGAGGCAGCATGCATATACTATCTCATCTACTCAGGAGGCTGAGGCAAGAAAATCTTTTTAGCCCAGTAGTTTGGGGCCAGGCTGGGCAACACAGCAGTACCCTGTGTCTTGAAAAATATAGTATGCTGCTGGAGCATGGCTTACCTAGCAAGTGTAAGCAACTGAGTTTATACCCCAGTATTGACCAAAAAGAAGCGGGGGGTGGGGGGAGACAATAATATTAACTGTAAGAGAAAAAGTTACTCACCAATTGATTTTGCATCATAGAAAGTTCGAGAAAACAGGACCACTGTTACTTCATGACTACAGTTCTTCTCCTAGGTACAAGAAGAGAAAAAGCAGGGTCAAGTAATTAATTATAGGAGGCTAAGCAGCACTGTCAGGTGCTAATTTCATATAGTTGTTGGAAGCAATCTGTAAGGATGGAGGACTGCTGAGAATCGAGGCCTACAACAAGTCCTGCCTCCAAAATTTATTACTATGAGATCATGGGCAAGTTGCTTTAAGTCCCAAGAATGTGACAAGTGTCAGCAAAGTGGCAAATCTTCACAAAGGATCCCTATTGCTCAACTGTTGATGGCACTGGCAAAAACTTCATCAGCTCAAGGTCAGAGACTTATGGTATCTGTACCTGTTTTTTTGTTTTGTTTTTTTGAATTTTTATTTTTGCCAGTCCTGGGGCTTGAACTCAGGGCCTGGGCACTGTCCCTGAGCTTTTTTTTTTTTTTTTTTGTCGGTCATGGGGCCTGAATTCGGGGCCTGGGCGCTGTCCGTCAGCTCTTCAACTCAAGGCTAGTGCTCTACCCCTTGAGCCACAGCGCCACTTCCGTCTTTTTCTGCTTATGTGGTGCTGAGGAATCGAACCCAGGGTTTCATGCAAGCAAGGCAAGCATTCTTCCACTAAGCCACATTCCCAGCCCTGTGCCTGTTTTGCAGTGGGGTTTTTGTTTGTTTGTTTTTGCTGGTCGTGGGGCTTGAACTCTGGGCCTGGGCCCTGTCCCTGAGCTCTTCAGCTCAAGGCTAGCGCTCTACCACTTGAGCACCACTTCTGTTTTCTGGTGGTTAATTGGAGATAAGAGTCTGGACTTTCCTGCCCAGGCTGGTTTTGAACCATGATCCTCAGATCTCAGCCTCCTGAGTAGCTAGGATTACAGGCATGAGCCACTGGCACCAGGTTTTACAATGTTATTTTTTTATTTTGTTTCATTTGCCAGTCTTGGCGCTTGAACTCAGGGCCTGGGCACTGTGCCAGTGCTTTTTTGCTCAAGGGTAGTGTGCTACCACTTAAGCCATAGTTCCACTTCTGACTTTCTTTTTTTTTAGAAAATGTAGTGTAGATAAGAGTCTGTGGGACTTTCCTGTCTGGGCTAGCTTCAAACCAAGATACTTGGCACTCAGCTTCCTGAATAGCTAGGATTTACCAGCACCTAGCATTGCAGTGCTTTTTAATTTTTTTAATTTTTTTTGTAGGTTGTGAGGGTCTGAACTCTGGGCCTGGGCGCAGTCCCTCAGCTCTTCAGCTCAAGGCTGGTGCTCTACCACTTGAGCCACAGCACCACTTCTAGGTTTTTCTGCTTATGTGGTGCTGAGGAAACGAACCCAGGGCCTCATGCATGCAAGGCAAGCACTCTACCACTGAGCCACCTTCCTAGACCCTTTGCAGAGTTTCTTTCATGTCTTCAGAATTCCAGTTTAGGGAACAGGAAAGCCAAACACATCAAAGGATAAGGATTGGGGGTTCCTGCATTGGAGGAGATAAGCCAAGAAGACTATGAATTGCCATTTCAATGGAGAGGAAGACTAGTGTGTACATATTTCTATGAAGTCTAGAGCCCAACATCCTGGAATCAGGTTATTTATAAATGGAAATAAAATGTTGTTTGCACCAATGAGCCAGCAAGCTTAGTTTTAATTCATCCTGGGCCCAACCTGATCTCTATCCCAACCACACTGACAAAATTCAACATTTATGACAGAGGTATACAACTGAATACACTATATGCCAACTTATATTACTAAATGAATACATCTCAAGTGGACAGATATTCATAAATATAAGCTACAGTACCAAGAACACAATAGGAAGAGATGGTCTTTGTTAGGTACCAACTAATTAATTATCTGGGGCTTGAACTCAGGGTCTGGACACTGTCCCTGAGCTTCTTTGCTCAAGGTTACCATGTGAGCCCACTACTCTACTTCCAGTTTTCTGTTAGTTAATTAGAAATAAGAGTCTCAAGGACTTTCCAGCCCCAATTGGCTTTGAACCATAATCTTCAGATCTCAGCCTCCTGAGTAGCTAAGATTAAGCCACTGGCACCTGGCTAACTATTTCTCAAATGCCCCCCCACACACACACACACATCCCCCATCAGTTGCAGAGCTGGAACGCAGGGCCTGAGGGCTGTCCCTGAGCTTTTCTGCTCAAGGCTAGCGCTCTACCACTTTGAGCCACAGCTCCACTTCAGTCTTCTAGTGGTTAACTGGAGATAAGAGTCTCACAGAAGCCAGGAGCTGACAGCTCATGCCTATAATCCTAGCTTCTCAGAAGACTGAGATCTAAGGATCATAGTTTAAAGCCAGCTCAAGCAGAAAAGTCCATGAGACTCTTTTTTTTTTTTCCCATGAGACTCTTATTTCCAATTAACCAACAGAAAACTGGAAGTAGTCCTATGGCTTCAAATGGTAGAGAACCAGCCTTGAGTGAAAGAGCTCAGGGATAGTTCCCAGAAACTGAGTTCAAGCCCAACAACTGACAAAAAGAAAAATTTTTTAAAGTCTCACAGACACCTACCCAGGCTGGTTATGCACTGTGATCCTAAGATCTCTCTGCCTCCTGAGTAGCTAGGATTACATGCATGATCCACCAATGCTTGACTTGTCTCTCAATTTTTATATGCTGGAGGAGATACAGACTATTATCATCTCCATTTTTCAGCCTTGGAAATTAGAGATTTAGTAATTATCCAAGATCAAAAAGACAATTGGACCAGAACTATAATTTTAAGCAGTTGGTTTTAATCAAAACTTTATTCTCTGTTGCTGACCACATATATGATATATATGTGCACATTGGAGGCAAACTAGGAGGAAGACACAGAAACAGAGGGAAACGGGAAAACATACAACAGCGGGACCCATCAGCTGCACTGGACATTGATCAAACCAAACTAAGCAACTCAATGGCAGTGATGGGAGGGAGGGAATGAGAGGATAGAGGGAACAGCTGACATTAAGAAAAAGGAGAGAAATGTATATATCACCCAATGTGGAAGAAATAACTGTATTGCCAAAGCTCATAGAACTCATAAACTTTATAGACCACGATAAAGACAATTTGCCCCATGTAGGTTAGAATGTGTTTGTGATTTTAACTAAGTATCAATAACCCACAATACTGTAAAATTTGTGAAATTTATGTAATCATTTCATCACAATAAAAAAAATTGCAGCGAGTACCGGCCTATAATCCTAGCTATTCAGGAGGCTAAGATCTGAGGATCACAGTCCAAAGCCAGCCCAGGCAGGAAAGTCCATGAAACTCCTATCTCCAATTAACCACCAGAAAATCAGAAAACCAGAAGTACCCTGTGGCTCAAGCAGTAGAAGGCTAGCCTTGAGCTGAAGAGCTGAGGGACAGCGCCCAAGCTCAGAGGTCAAGCCCCAAGACAGACAAAAAAAAAAAACTAAAGAAAAAACATAAATAGTGTAAAAATAAAACTTTATGCTCTGTCACACAACACAATATGAAATACACTTTGATTAAAATACTCCTTTGAATAGGAGAATTTTTTTTGTTGTTGGTTGTGGAGCTTGAACTTGGCCTGAATGCTGTCACTCAGCATTTCAGCTCAAGGCAAACACTCTACCATTTGAGCCACTGCACCACTTCTGGTTTTCTAGTGGTTTATTGGAGATAAGAGTCTCATGGTCTTTCCAGCCTGGGCTGGCTTTGAACCACGATCCTCAGATCTCAGTCTCCTGAGTAGCTAGGATTACAGGCATGAGCCACTAGCACCCGACCTGTGAGACTCTTATATCCAATGAACTACCAAAAAGCTGGAAATGGAGATATGGCTGAAATGATAGAGCACTAGACTTGAGCAATAAAGCTCAGGGACAGTGCCCAGGCCCTGAGTTCAAGCTCCAGAACTAGCACCAAAAAAAAAAAAAA